GGGGGTGTTTGTTTATTCTAATTTTTATGGGATTTTAGGCAGAAACAAAAACCAAAGCTAGAGAGAAAACAATTGAACGATGAAGTTGGGTTTTTTAGCCTATGTTACTGCTATTTTACGACATCTTATCTTTGATTACTAGTTGGCTTTTTCTCTTCTTAGTATGTTGTTCGAGCTTGTAGGAGGGGGATAGGCACCTTTTCGCTGAAATGTGATGACTAGTCAAACTTTCGTAAGCCATAACGCTGATGAAGTTGACTGAAATTTCATATATTTGAAAGAGAAAATAGCACTGAACACTGTCTTTTACTAAGAAGAAAAAAGTAAACAGACGTTCTGCTGTCTCTCTTAAAAGAGCTCTGATGGTTTGATATTAAATGCTTTGGATTTAACGCCCCTGTAAACATTGTAAAGCCCGAAAACAACACAATTTTAAGAACGCCTTATTGGGTATTTGAATTTTGGTCGTCTGTATTCTAGTCCAGTATGATACAGGTTCGTTCTTGGCAGACTTTATATTATGACGGAGAGGCAACTGCTGTTTGCTTGGTTGTTTGAGTTAAGACAAGCACATCTAAAGAGCGACGACCATAGTGCTGGAAAAAGGAAGACAGACTGAAACGACGGAGGAAAAGAAGCAGGATCTACCGAAAGCTCCCCTAGCCAAACACTGAACGTCGGCATTGCTTTCCTGAAAAGGTCACTTTCCTAAATTAGGCAATATAAGTTTCTCAAACTACACCGGGGACATAATAGGCCTAATATGAGAAGGGTGCATGAGGAAGACAGCTGCGGTATCAATACTAACCTGTGATTTGTGCTCCATCCAGCCTTCATGAAACTTTTTAAGTCTCTGAATATTGACGTATTGTCCCGAGTCCATGGTATATGGCGATTCAGTTTCTGCAGGTCTCCTGCGATCCAATGAGATAATAATATGTTGTTCGATCTATGTCATTCTTTTGCTCGTCAATACCGCTTGAATGGTGATAACTCACTCCGCAATAATCCAGTTAGCTAAACTTCTGGCTTTTGAAGAAACCTGCGGGAAAAAATCAAGCTCTTCTCTGAGTGATACAGATACATGAAATATACATGTAATATGAATTGTCGTGTTGATTCCGTTTCCGAATTCTGATCAATAAAGGTATTATGGTAGCAAAGGTAGAAGTTAACAAGTTTTGTTTGTTTTTTTCTGTAAATACTCTTTAAAATTTCTTGGAAAATGAGAAATCAAATGAAGAAGTTACGGTACGGTACTTAAAGAAAACCACATGGACTTCGTAGGCCTACTAATACATTTACATATGTAATAACAATTAGGAAGAGACAAGTGCAGATTCCGGGACACCTGAATCGACATAAGAGCCTTGAATATCTAGCTCTCACTGGTAATATTGAAGGCAAATAAGGCAGTGGCAGATCCAGAGCAATTTACTTGGAGAGCCTCAACGATGGGTGACGGGGTGATACAATTACTTGCTTTTTTAAAAGTCCTAGGTAAACCACACCCTTCTCGTCGCTATCTACGTAGCAGATTACTCGTAGGTCTTTGAGCTTTTGAAAACCCTTATTTTAATCCCTTTCTTCGAACGCTATAGGAAGTGTTACTGGTAACCATATTATTTATTTCTAAAAATAACATTTAGGCCCATAGGATAGTTACTTTGTGAAGGACATTCGTCCTCCAGACAGATCTATGCCCCATATTTTTTTATTTGCACTCTTTAAATAGCTCCAAAAGAAACGACTGTGTGAAATGATAAGTCTATCTAGACTAGATCTACACTCAATTTATTTTTTTCGGAATTTATCACGAAAAATTGAATTATAATTACATGTATACTGCTGCATAAGGTTCACTTTCATTTTGTTTTACAAGAAGAAGAAGAAGAAGAAAAAGCAAGTTTCCGGTACTTCATCTTTTCTCTTTTTCTCGTTTTTAAAAAGATGCTCTCGTTCCATTCATTCCAACTAACGAAAATATTACAGAAGCTCAATGTTTTTAATAATCTCGCTTTAAAAATTCGATTATCAACAGATTACAATGTTCATTCTGAAGGAATAGAGAAGATAATGAAATAAAAAATGGGGGGGGGGGAGGCGTTGCGTGGGAAGTTTTTTTCCTTTAACTTTTTCATTCCATCAATTGTAAAGTATTGTATGTAGACTAACCCGACAGTGTCTATTCCCGAAGAAGTGCAGTAATAATTCCAAACAAAGATCTCTTTATCAAAGATTTTGCCCAAGGCTCCACTCCTCTCTTCCTACGCCTTTCCTTTAAGAAAAAAACCCTGCCCCTTCTCGTCTTTGAAAGACCCGACTGAGCTGGCAATGTTCAGAAAATTTGCCAAGCGTAAAACCACTTCAACTGTGACTGCTGCCTAGTGCCTGTTGATTTGAAAAATACGTGCCTACCAACGTGGGAGCCAAAGCTATTGAACGAAGTTCCTTTTCTTGTTTACTTCCCTTCAACATTTCCGCGCGATATCTGAATCTCTCGATCTATTGATGCCTACATGGTGAAACAGGAACTGCAAGCTATATATTTTTTTTTGTCTTCTGCGTACATGCATTTGGAGAACATTACCAGGTACAGTTGCCTGTCCTGAAATTTGAACCTAATGGATAAGATTTTGAGCAACTTGAAATCCCTTTAACTACTGCTTCATCCGTGGCGTTTCCCTCTATCGTGGTTGTTGTTCATGTTGTTATTGCCGTTGCTGTTGTTGTTGTTGTTGTTGTTGTTGTTGTTGTTGTTGTTGATGATGATGTTGTTGTTGTTGTTGTTGTTGTTATCGTTATCGTTATTGCTGTTGCTGCTGTTATTCCTTTTGCTTTGGTTGTCGTTTTTGTTTTTGTGAAAGTAAAAAGGGGTTGTGTTTCTCTTGTGATCCGTAGGAAAATTCTCTATTGTTACATTTTCGCACTTAGTTTTGCTGTTATTGTTGTATTTTAGTCATTGTTCATTGCTGCTAATCTTATGATGCTTGTTGTTTAAGTTGTTGCTGCTGCTGTTGTTGTTGATGCTGTTGTTGTTTCTGCTGCTGCTGCTGCTGCTACTGCAGTTGTTGCTGTTGTTGTTGCCAAGATGATAATGATGACAACGATGATGACAGCGATGATGACGACGATGACAGCGGCCTACATACAGCCATTCTTTCAAAAGAGTTCTGCTATTTCGCTTAGGAAAAAAAAAAGAGGAACACTGTAAGTTATTCCACCCTGTCAACAATAAGTTGTAGCCTACAGTCCAGTTTTGTCTCAGCGCCAGAATTATTCTCATGCCAAAATTCTTAGAGCCTTGTTCCCCAACAGTCGATACGGCCCACTGACGCGGGGTGGGGGTGGGGAGTTGGGGTGTCTAAAATTACGGTACGGGAAGGAACTGAACAATGGGCAGGTATTTCCGCAGTCCTGACAAAAAGGAGAGTCCGTGAGGTCAGCGAAGCAGCCACACAGACCTTTTGACAGACAGACAGACGGGCAGACACAAGGACGAACGTTTTGACCTGAGTCCCTGAGAAAAGGGAAAAGGGAAAAGGGGGGGGGGGATAGAATTTAATTGGGGTCGAGAATAAAAGGTTTAAGGCGTAAAGGAGCATATTATACATGTATATATCTATATACATGTATTTATTTTTATACAAAAAGATTTTTTTCTGTCTCCCTCTCTTTCTGGTTCACTCTCATTTTTTCTGTTTTTCTTTCTGTCTGTCTGTTTGCCAGTC